ATTGCGATTCTGCGAAGGAACTTTTATTTAAGCAGTTAAAACTTAGTGATGAAAAATTTAGGCAGAAATTTGTGCAGCATCAGAAGGATGCTGATAAAATTTGGATATATTATGTGTACGAGATTACAAAATATTTTCAAGGATGGATTAAAGGTATGGAATTTCCAAAGTTTGAAGGAATTAATAATTACAGATCAAATGAAAATGAATGTTCCTCAAGAAGTTAGAAATAATTTCATAAACACATGGAACAATTTCAAACTCGACCGAACTAGCCGGCAAGTTGGATCATTTTAAAATCACTCGACGGGCGTTTGGAGAACCAGTGAATTATTTTGACAGGCCCTACCCCAGAAGAAATTTGTAGTCTCAAGAACTATTCAGAAATCGTCAAAATTTAAGTTCAGGAAAGCGACATAAGTTCCAAAGAACAAACGGACTAGTCGCCAAGAGTTAAATTCGGGCAGACGTCATTATGAAGATGATAGTGGCAGTAGCCAAAAATTTCGTTTTAGAAATGGAAATGGAAAATCATCGCCAAAATGTTATGCCCGTAAATGCGAAGAGCATTGGAGGAGAAAATGGAGGTCTATTAGATGGTCAATTATGTAAACTCGAAAAAATACAGGTTAGCCTCAATGGAAAAATAGTTTAAGCTTTGGTCGATTCAAGAGCAGAGATAACGGTGGTTAAAAAACCTAATTGGTGAATTGCCAAAATAAGACATGCCATCAATAATATTAAAATAAGCTTTCGGAGCTACGGAAAAATGTCCAATTTGTGAATATTCCGATTGCCATCGTTTTGGAAGGTCAAGCTAATGTAATGCACCACGAAGTACTATGCACAGTTACTGAGAAATTGACGTAGAATGTAATGTATTGGTACCAATGGAAATTCGTGTATCAATGGAATGCAATTTTACCAATGCTGGCAGAATCTGAAATGGGAAATGAAAATAAGGATGATGTAGGTAAAGAAGAAAAACAAAGAAAGAGTCTGTCAGGATCCTGATTCCTCTCCCACGCATTTGATTGACCCCTTGACCTGAGGGTCAGAGGGTGAAGGACACTGGAGGTGTCCCCTACATTGGGGGTGGAGCGAATGACATGACTTTTTCTGATGAGAAAGAATTTTTGGAGATTAGATTAGCTTTGAACGCAGAAGAGTTGAGTTTCGAGTTGAACTATGCTAGAGAAAGCATGAGGGAGAAGGGAGCAGCAGCGCTCCGGAATATTATATTCTCCAATTCATGTATCATTTTGTAAATAATTCTATAATCAAGAATTTAGTAATAAATAAGCTAAAATTGAAATAATCCTTGGTCATCCTTAATGAGGAGTCTTTAAAAACGAACCAAGAGACTAAAGGTCTCACAAATGGCGCAGCCTGTCAGGATGGAAGGAGGACTGCTAGGCTAAGGAAAAGAATCATCGCCGATGCCCACTATGAGAAAGGCCCAGTAAAGAGAGTTGCCTCATGGAGTCAATCTTGATAGAAGGATGCCTACGGAAATGCCTAGTGAAAAAGATTGCCTGAAGGAAAGGGTGACGGTGGACTGACAACATCGACGGGACTATTATCGCCGGAGGCGATAGGCAGCCAGTGCTACCCCCTGTGACCGGTGGCCATAGAGTGTGGTTTCATATTATTGATAAGTATAATAAGTAATGATTCGATATTTTTTTTTAGTAACCTAGTGGTTGGTTTGTTAAGAGTGTAATTTTTTTATTGCTTTATTAAGAGTATGTATGAAAGAAGAAGAGTATTGATTTAATAACATGTAAAAAAGTGTAGGATTATTTAAAGATTGCGTTTTTATATGTCAATAGCGAGCTGAGTAAACAAGGCTCTGGGTTTATTATTATTTAGTAGTGATTATTATTTATAATGCATTCTGTTAAAATAATTTTGGACCGAAAAAAAGGTCAAGGAAGGGGTTTGCTTTTGTTTAAATGATGAAATGGTTAATTATTACGACGGTAGAATGTACGAAATTTAAGAGTTTTAATTTTGGGGGAAGTAAAAGTGTATATTTTAGGTGTAACAAAAGAGTACGAAATTGTTTTATTTTGCAATGAAAGTTGAAAAGAGTAATTTGTATTTCTGTGCATTAAGAAGTAATGTTTGAATATTGCATGTTTTGAATATTGCATGATACCAATTGTATTGTATATGTTTGGTTTACATATGAGGTATTAAATTTCATAATAGAAGGTCGGGGTATGAGTATAGGGGACGGTGTTGCTAAATTTTATTTTTTTAAGGTTCATTTTTAAATAGGGGTATATTTTTTTGTGGTTAAGAAATTAAATTTATATCGTCAGTATGAGTTTTATTTTTAAAGCAAGAAAGGTAGATTTGATAGTCCTAGCTGAGAAGCTTGGGATAACGGTTCCCGAGAACGCCACGGGTGCTAAGATAAGGCCATTGATCACCGGGAGTTCGGATTACGATGAGCAATTTACTAAAGATGTTTTAAGTGTGATTAAAGAGGATAGATTAGAAAAAGAGGAACGGGAAGATAGGGAACGTGAAGATAGGGAACGTGAGCGACTAAAATTAACANACAAAAATTAATAGACGATAGGAAACGGGGAACAAGAAAATTAACGGAAGATAGGGAAAGTGACAAACAAAAATTAAAAGAAGATAGGGAACGTGAGCAACAAAAATTAAAATAAGATAGGGAACGCGAGGATAAAATAAAGAGGACAAAAGAGCAGGAACGAGAATTAAGAGAAGGTAGGAAGCGGGAGTTGCATAGAAGGATACGTGAACTGGAATGGTTAAAACGAGAACGGGAATATGATCATGAGTGGATAAGATGTACTATACTAGGGATTGAGCGGTTAACAGAAATTTTAATGGAGGACCAGGACGAGTAAAGTAAAACCCAGGATTTTAAACCCTTAGTCAGTTTAAATGAATCGGTTGGATGTCTAGGCGCCGTGGAATCAGCGGAGAGGCCGGAGTCCGGAAAATTTGGTTTTGGAATTGAAGGAAAGGAGGTGAAGGGTGGGGTGAGACGATTTCCTGAATGGAGTGGTCCGAATGTTAATAGAAAGGGTAAGTTTCCGCGTGAATCACTGAGGAAAAATAGTACTAGCTCAGGAGAATGGTCGCCGAAATGTTATAACTGTGGAGAGGTAGGACACTTAAAGAGGGGATGTCCGAAAATTAGTAGATTTAGGTTAGATCAGAAGAAAAATCGGGATAAGCAATATTCTTTAGAACACGTTATTCACGAAAAAAGGGTAAAGAAAGACGAATCGGATTTGCGTAGAATCGAGGTGGTTGAGGAGAATTCTGACATAGTAAAAGCTGCTCTACAATATTTAATTTGCTACTCATTTAAATCTAAAGGAAAGTAATCAATGTAGATCAAAAAGTAATGTACAACATTTCTTTCAAATTAATAAGCAATTCTTAACGTTATTATCTGAAAAAATTCATTTACTTTATTGTTTATTTATAATTGATGTATCTTCTTATCTCATCTACTACTCTTTTTTTCTTCTTTTTTTATATGAATAAAATAAAATGTTAGTAAAGCCATGGAAAGATTAATGCAGAGTACATGATAGGACAAAGATAAATAAAAGGAATAACAAAGGAGAGGGAATCTAGTGACAAAAGAGCACATCGTATGAATAAGGATGTCAGTTGTGGAATGTTATCTTAGGAATGTTGTTTGTTGACAAAGAAATGAGAACGCTAGATCCCCTGGTCAGCTTGCTTGTGCCAATTGGTGCTTGTCAGGAGAGAAGTCAAGGAAGCAATTAAAATGAGACTTATTGCAAGTGTGAAAGTCGAAATTCCTGAGGGGTTGAAGGAAAAATCGATGTTGAACGCAAAACACGTGGTTAGTCGGCTTTTTATTGGATGTGGTCCTTCACCAGGTGGGCGGTACTGTTTGTCTAAGATAGGTACTCTGACCGCCACAAAGTCTACGGCAGTCTGGTGCTTTGGAAACAAGAATAGGGCATTTTAGGGCAGCGCTAAAGAGAATAGAAGGGCTGGTTCACNTGATCAAGAGTGGATAAGATGTACTATACTAGGGATTGAGCGGTTAACAGGATGAGGAAAGTAAAACCCAGGATTTTAAACCCTTAAATGGATCGGTTGGATGTTTGGGCGCTGTGGAATCAGCGGAGAGGCCGGAGTCCCGAAGGTTTGGTTTTGGAATTGAAGGAAAGGAGGTGAATGTGAAGGGTGGGGTGAGACGATTTCCTGAATGGAGCGGTCCGAATGTTAATAGAAAGGGAAAGTTTCCGCGTGAATCGCTAAGGAAAAATAGTACTAGCTCAGGAGAATGGTCCCCGAAGTGTCACAACTGTGGAGAGGTAGGACATTTAAAGAGGGGATGTCCGAAAATTAATAGATTTAGGGTAGATCTGAAGAAAGATCAGGCTAAGCAAGATTCCGTAGAACGCGTTAGTCACGAAAAGAGGGTGAAGAAAGACGAATCGGATTTGCGTAGAATCGAGGTGGTTGAGGAGAAGTTTTGTTTCTCAAAAATAATATACAGCGTTCCTAAATTAAGCATATCAAGGCAATCTTTAGATCCTGAAGAAAATTTTGAGAATGGGAGATGGATCTTTTTAAGTTCAGAGATAGGTCCTGCTGTAGAGGAGAAGCTCAGTTATGTTCCTAGTAACTGTGGGATAGGGTAAGGAATTGTAAACCCTAGTGAAAAAATCCCAGGAGTGTTCGAAAGTGAAAACGGGGCGACAGTGATAAGGTCAAGGGAGTTTGAAATATTAGAGGAGCAGGCTTTTGAAAATGCAGGGGATGAACAGTGGGGAGAAGAGTGGGAGAAAAAGACGANTCGGTTCTGAGGGAAAAGAGCAAGAAGGGAACAAGGGGATTGAGGCTAAGGACACTGACCTTGATTGCGAGAATTCGGACAGGAGAGGAGTGCGAATCACTCCGGGGGTCTCGAGGTGTTGGAGGGAAAGTCAAGTGGGGGTGAGGACGAAGATCCACCATGTATTTTAATGAATCCCGAGCATGGGGAGAAAGTAGGGGGTCAAGATAAGAAATCACCCTTTTCTCAAGTCCAAAGAATTAAAGAGGGGCAAGTGCAGGGCTCCGAATTTGAAGGAATGTTAGAGGAAGTGAGGGAGGATTTTAAAGGCAAAGAAGTTTGTGGTCAGCGAGGGGTTGAAGTGAAGGTTAAAAGTCCAATTAACGCGTTGAAGAGGATGGATTTGTCCTGTGAGAAAAGAAAGGGAGATAGCGACGGCGCGATGGAATCTAAACTTCTGTGGTTTGAGGGGAGAGAAAAATTGTTTAAGTATCCTAAGAAGGAGTTGTACACAGCTGCGAATTCAAGCACTCCCGATATCAGAATTAAAACCCGTAAGGTGCAGGTGAAAATAAGGATTGGTTTTCAGAAAGGGGGGTCAGAAAGAAAAAGTAGAGCAAAAGAGTTAGCTAGTCACGTAAGAGGAAGTGGTATAGAAAGAGATAGGTTCCAGGGGATCAGGTCAATGAACTTGAAAGAGTGGACATTTGGGCAATTTGGACGGTTAATTTTGTATGCTAATCATTATTATTTGTTAGGCAGGAATTTTGGACATGACTTTAAGGATTTTATTTTGAGGGAATTTTATAAATGGATTTTGGCATGGATATTTTATTTTTGGCCTGATAAAAGTGATTTTATTGCTTTGATTGTAAAAATATTAGGTTCTTTCAATAAGTAGGAATAAAAACAATTTAACGCAACAGTTTAGGAAGGGGGTCCCAGAAATACCAGCAAGAAATAGTGGGAACGTAGGAGGATGGACCCCAAAATGTTTTAATTGTAACGAAGAAGGGCATTTAAGGAGGGCTTGGGGGAGGTAGATCTACCAAGGGCAGATTTCGCAATTGACAATGTTTGTTTTTCAGGTGTTATAGATAGTGGGGCGGAAATCAGTGTAGTAAAGCAGTCCTTCATTCCTGAGAAATATTTAAAATCAGGGGGGACGCTCTTTCTAAGACCAGCTGTGGGACCAGCCATGAGAGCAAAGCTTGTAACTGTGCCTATAAGGAGATGGGGGAGAGAAGAAGAGATAAAGTCATATGTCGAAATCCCAGTAGCGGTGGTAGAGGATTTGAATGAAACGGCTGCTCTGATTACCCCAAAAGTATTTCGGTTACTAAATGAGCAGTCTTTGAGGGACAGCGGAGGGGAGAGTCAAGAGGAGGGGGGTGATAGAAGTATTCTAGCTATGGAAAAAGAAACGGAAAGGGGAGAAGACGAAGAAGCGCGGAGTACCCCAGTAGACTCGGGGGCGGTCAGCGAAGGAATAGAAATAGGGGAAGGAACTGTAAACCCTAGCGAAAAAATCCCACTAGTGGTCAGAAGTGAAAACGAGACGACGGTGATAAGGTCAAGGGAGTTTAAAATATTAGAGGAGCAGGCTTATGAAAATGCAGGGGATGAACGGTGGGGAGAAGAGTGGGAGAAAAAGATGATCTGTTCTGAGGGAAAAGAACAAGGAGGGAACAAGGGGATTGAGACTAAGGACACTGACCTTGCTTGCGAGAATTCGGACGGGAGAGGAGTGCGAATCACTCCGGGGGGTCTCGAGGTGTTGGAGATAGAGTCAAACGGGGGAGGGGATGAAGATCCACCATGTATTTTAATGAATCCGGAGTGTGGGGAGAAAGTAGGGGGAGGAGATAAGGAATCACCCTTTTCTCATAGCCAAAGACTTAAAAAGGAGCAGGTGCAGGGCTTGGAATTTGAAGGAATGGTAGAGGAACCCTTATGAAAATTTACGGTATATTTAAGGTTGATTTGAGGTATTTTTGAGGTATTAAGGTTGTTTTGAGGTATATTTAAGGTTGCAGAGAAAACAGCNAGGGAGATAGCGACGGCGCGATGGAATCTAAACTTCTGTGGTTTGAGGGGAGAGAAAAATTGTTTAAGTATCCTAAGAAGGAGTTGTACGCAGCTGCGAATTCAAACACTCCCGATATCAGAATTAAACCCCGTAAGGTGCAGAAGAAAATAAGGATTTGTTTTCAGAAAGGGGGGTCCGAAAGAAAAAGTAGAGCAAAACAGTTAGCTAGTCACTTAAGAGGAAGTGGTATAGAAAGAGATATGTTCCAGGGGATTAGGTCAATGAACTTGAAAGAGTGGACATTTGGGCAATTTGGACGGTTAATTTTGTATGCTAATTATTATTATTGGTTAGGCAGGAATTTTGGACATGACTTTAAGGATTTTATTTTGATGGAATTTTATAAATGGATTTTGGCATGGATATTTTATTTTTGGCCTGATAAAAGTGATTTTAATGTTTTGATTGTAAAAATATTAGGTTCTTTTATGCCATGTTTTGATTTTGTATTTATTAGTCTGTTTTTATATGGAGTCGAGGGGGGTCACGACAATAGAACAATTGAAGGAATTGGTAGTGGCAGATCGGATAAAGGATAGTTTACCCCAGGAGCTGAAATCCCACATATATTTAAAGGAATCCGAAGGTAGGTTGGGGGTGTCAGATTTAGGGCAGGAGTTAGATAATGTAGTGGCGGCAAGACCCCAAAACCTTGACGTAGGATTCCGAAATAGGGGAGGGAAAATGAGTGAAAAGAGGGCTCTGGAATACAAAGGTCACGAGACAAGTAGAAGGATTTTCCAAGCCGAAACAATAAGTAGGAATAAAAACAATTTAACGGAACAGTTTAGGAAGGGGGTCCCAGAAACACCAGCAAGAAATAGTGGGAATGTAGGAGGATGGACCCCGAAATGTTTTAATTGTAACGAAGAAGGGCATTTACGGAGGGCTTGTCCGAAAATATATCGGATCAGCATCTGTCGAGAAAATATGGATAGATTGGAAAGGAGAGGATTAAACCCAATGGCAGTGGGAGTGGCTGGATTAAATTTGGAGGATGCAAGGACGAAGGGAGAGGTAGATCTACCAAGGGCAGATTTCGCAATTGACAGTGTTTGTTTTTCAGGTGTTATAGATAGTGGGGCGGAAATCAGTGTAGTGAAGCAGTCCTTCATTCCTGAGAAATATTTACAATCAGGGGGGACGCTCTTTCCCTCTTTCTAAGACCAGCTGTGGGACCAGCCGTGAGAGCAAAGCTTGTAACTGTGCCTATAAGGAGAGGGGGGAGAGAAGAAGAGATAAAGTCATATGTCGAAATCCCAGTAGCGGTGGTAGAGGATTTGAATGAAACGGCTGCTCTGATTACCCCAAAAGTATTTCGGTTACTAAATGAGCAGTCTTTGAGGGACAGCGGAGGGAAGAGTCAAGAGGAGGGGGGCGATAGAAGTATTCTAGCTATAGGAAAGGAAACGGAAAGGGGAGAAGACGAAGAAGCGCGGAGTACCCCAGTGGATCCGGGGGCGGTCAGCGAAGGAATAGAAATAGGGGAAGGAATTGTAAACCCTAGCGGAAAAATCCCAGTAGTGGTCAGAAGTGAAAATGAGGCGACAGTGATAAGGTCAAGGGAGTTGAAAATATTAGAGAAGCAGGCTTTTGAAAATGCAGGGGATGAACTGTGGGGAAACGAGTGGGAGAAAAAGATGATCGGTTCTGAGGGAAAAGAACAAGAAGGGAACAAGGGGATTGAGACTAAGGACACTGACCTTGCTTGCGAGAATTCGGACGGGAGAGGAGTGCGAATCACTCTGGGGGGTCTCGAGGTGTTGGAGATAGAGTCAAACGGGGGAGGGGACGCAGATCCACCATGTATTAATGAATCCGGAGTGTGGGGAGAAAGCAGGGGGTGGAGATAAGGAATCACCCTTTTCTCATGGCCAAAGACTTAAAAAAGAGCAGGTGCAGGGCTCCGAATTTGAAGGAATGTTAGAGGAAGTGAGGGAGGATTTTAAAGGCAAAGAAGTTGGTGGTCAGAGAGGGGTTGGAGTGAAGGTTATAAGTCCAATTAACGCGTTGAAGATGGTGGATTTGTCCTGTGAGAAAAGAAAGGGAGATAGCGACGGCGCGATGGAATCTAAACTTCTGTGGTTTGAGGGGAGAGTTGTAGGAGTTGTACACAGAAAGAGTTGTACACAGAAAGTGTAAGAAGGAGTTGTACACAGCTGCGAATGCGAACACTCTCGATATCAGCATTAAAACCCGAAAGGTGCAGGTGAGAATAAGGGTTTGTTTTCAGAAAGGGGGTTCTGAAAGGAAAAGTAGAGCAAAAGAGTTAGCTAGTCACTTAAGAAATCATGGAGGGGGTGGTATTGAACGAGTGTTAGATAGGATTAGGTCAATGAACTGGAAAGAGTGTACGTTTGGGCAATTTGGACGGTTAATTTTGTATGCTAATTATTATTATTTGTTAGGTAGGAATTTTGGACATGACTTTAAGGATTTTATTTTGATGGAATTTTATAAATTGATTTGGGCATGGATATTTTATTTTTGGCCTGATAAAAGTGATTTTAATGTTTTGATTGTAAAATTATTAGGTTCTTTTATGCTATGTTTTGATTTTGTATTGTTTATGTTGTCAAGTGTCCTAAGTGTAAGTTTATGTTTATTAAGGTATAATGCGGCCAATCTCTTTTGCGCACGGGAATGTGTGCGTGTAATTGTTTTTTTGGTGCAGGGATGGGCTTGCATTGTTTTTAGGTTTCACTTGTACGACCAGGGAAGAAGGTCGAACTAGATGAAACCGGGGGGGAGGTGTCAGGATCCTGATTCCTCTCCCACGCATTTGATTGACCCCTTGACCTGAGGGTCAGAGGGTGAAGGACACTGCAGGTGTCGTCCCCTACATTTGGGGGTGGAGCAAAGGACTGTTTCTTATGGGAAAGAGGATTTTTTAGAGATCAGTTTTGAACGCAGGAGAGATTAGCTTTGAACGCAGAAGAGTTGAGTTTCGAGTTGAACTATGCTAGAGAAAGCATGAGAGAGAAGGGAGCAGCAGCGCTCCGGAATATTATATTCTCCAATTCATGTATCATTTTGTAAATAATTCTATAATCAAGAATTTAGTAATAAATAAGCTAAAATTGAAATAATCCTTGGTCATCCTTATTGAGGAGTCTTTAAAAACGAACCAAGAGACAAAAGGTCTCACAAATTTGTTCTTGTATTGTTGACGCGAAGTGTTTACATAGTTATCGATCGAACTAATCTTAATGGTATTATCGATATCAACTGCAATATCGGCAGTATGTCGGTATTGCAGATAAAGTTCGATAAACAAATTTGTAAATTAAAATCCATATTAATAAAATAGTAAAAAAAAATATGCAAGAAAATTTTAGCATATATTTTGAAAAGAGGGGAGGAGTGGGGGAAGGAGGGGAGTTCCCAAAAACGGCTATGCCTAGGGCCTACGAAAGGTATAATCCGGCTCTGATGCTTAGGGCCTACGAAAGGTATAATCCGGCTCTGGATGTAGGCCTAGCTCAAGGGTTGAAAGCAAAAAAAGGTTTAGAGTTACGGTTAACGCAAGACAAACACTAATCAAACTCTCTCTGTTATAAGGAGGCTCAGTACACGTAAGAGATTAGTTCTGGCTAAGTAATAAAGCCTCAATTCGCAAAAACTCGAAGACTAAAGTTGAGCACGAGGTTTAATAAGATTTTTCTCCTCCCGATTTCGAGATTGAATATGCCAGATTAAGGCCGAAATTCGGGAAAATATAAAACCTAAATGTGCGAGGAACCATGAGAAGTAAAATATAATAAGATAACTTATTTATGAGTAAAAATATGTAAGAGTTCTTTATAATATTTTATTATACTATTTTTCTCCTTAGTAAATTAACGAAACGCATGCTTGAATATTAAGCAAGTTTGAAATTGGTAAAATAGCACATGTATCATGTTAAAAGTACATGTACTTATAACGTTATGTATAGTTAATATATATAGCAATGCATAATTATATGTAGTTTTGCTATAATATATATATAGTTATATATGGTTATATTTAGTTTAAAGTACGAGTATTTATCTTGAGCATCGAGCTCAGCCTGAGATCGTCTAATTCCAAATCAACTTATGCAGTTGAGCAACTCTTATGAGCATGAGTTCATAAAGATTACCTATATTGAATTTTTTCATTTCCACAGAAGTTGCTTTTGAAGAAGTTTAGAAATTTGGAATGTTTCATGCACATTGTAAGATTAGAAGAGCGTCAACTAGTTGAGAACGTGATATAATTAAGATGAAAAGTTAGACTAGTTAGAGTTCACAATAACAAACAATTCTGGAAATTATAATTCATTAGCAATTTTTAAAATAATTCATACCCTCAGTTAAATGAAAAGAAAAATAAGTTTGTTGGTTTTTTTCTCCTGGTTTGTCCAAATAATAACTTGGGAGGAAAACCAGATTTATTTTTGAGCAAACATTTCACATTTAAACTATAATTCACTAAAACACAAAAACATTTTTCTGTAGTTATTCAGTAAAAGCATGAAGAAAAGAATAGAAAAACAAATCACGATAAAACTTAATAAAGCTTACTAAACATTTTGTTGGATTAATAATTATGCAGTTTCCATATGCTTACAAATTTAAAATAAACAATAACACTACCAAGTTCAAATTTTTAGATGTCATTGAAATTCTGCTACGTATGCAAAATTATTTGGAGAGACATGTTTATTTCCACGAACCGAGAATTCCCCAGAAAAGAAAAACTGGCAATAAAACCAATTAATTGTTAGCTTTTTTTCGGGAGATGTAAAATATGTAGGACTGCCACGTCATCTTAACAATTAACGTAATGTACTGAGCATATTAGCATAGCTCTCAAATCTATTTTCAGGCGAAAAATTCTCTTGTTGGCTATGTCGAAACTTCTTTCTTCCAAAAGCTCCGAATATCTATAACAAATTTCTTCACTTACTTTTTGAAGCAACTAGCAAAAAGTTCTAAGAACGTCGTCTACTTTTGCTATTTTCTATCTATTTATTTTATTTTTATTATTGTTAAGGTTAACCTTCGTTTTTGACGACTCTTACGATATAAACAGGACTGTTAGCTACCTGAAAATATCCTATTCCTAAAAATAGGATTAAAAAAAACAAAATGGTTTTTTACTGCCAGTTTTTCTCATTTCTGTACATCTTTAGCTCTAAATTATTTTCATGCCAGAGTTCATTATTTTTGTTACATCATTTTAGAAGAAGAAAAAAAAACGGTTGCATTGAAATTAATGAGCGGTAATGAACGTTTAAATTAATGTCAGGTGAACTGAAAACTAATTTTTCATTATCTCAACTTTGTTAAAACCTAAAAATAGATGCTTTAAGAACTCGTAGAGTTTCACAAATTATTCAACACTATTGCAATAAGTTAATTCTAAGTTTCCACCATAACAATCAGTCATAACCATATCTCTCGGGGTCAAAGAACATTTCAGGCAGCCAATCGGGGTTCAAGAATGAGGCCATCGAATAAAGAATAATTCTCAATCAGTGCAAACCTAATCAAGAAAAGTCATTAAATTCCACACGCACCATAGAACATATGACACAATTCTAACGTTCTTTTTCCGAAGTTCCCGTATGAAAGTTATCGTAAGAAAAGCTACAGCAGAGATCGTTTATTACCTTTTACTTTTTCTTCCTTCTATGACAAATAGTATCTTAATGGCGGAATGGCGTGTCTCTGTAGTAGTCATTATTAAAAAAAGGTGGTAGTTATCAGCGGTTTTGTTCCCTTGTTTATAATAAAAGTCGAAACTAAAGAACCGCCTTTTGTTTTATTATTATTATTATTATTGATAAAGAATGGAGTCTCAAAATATTCATCTGGAACAAAAGTTTGTTTACGAGATAAAATATGAGTTATTATATGGAAGGACCGCCACATATTTAAAATGCATAAGAACCTATAGAAGAAAAAGTATATTGGAATAAGGAAAATCTGTCACTTGGCAGAAATTCTAAAACAAATGTCCGATATTTTTTTAGACTTCTTTCATTATTTTACCCGACTACTATTCTAGCACATTAATTTCTATTTATACCCAAATTAATTTGAAAACATTAAATGGGCAAAAAATGTGGTAGTATCACAATTTCCTTTATTCCATTTATGCAAGCAATTCACATGTGCCGATATCAACCAGTAATTCAAAAATATGCATTTAGAGTATGAATTAAAATTTTAATGTCTGTCAATCATATTTATTTTTTGCCCATTTAAGTGGTGATTGCAAATTTTTTTTAGCTTCAACAAAATCGGGTTAAATAACATGCTACTACTTTTTTCATTTTTGATAATATTTTTTGAATCATATATTACATTCTGGATAGTCTGGAGACATATATGATCCTTTAGAGCATTGTCATCATCATCATTGGGACGATACAGTTGGGGTGGGCCTTGGCCTTCTCTAAAATTGTTTTAAAAGCCGTATTAATAGAGTCCAACTATCGAAGTTTTGGATGTTCTTTACTAGTACTGTCGAGAAACTGCGATGAACAATCTAA